CTCCTTTGGTGTTGCTTGAAATCTTGCACAGATCTCTACACTGAACACTATGTCTGGCCTGCTTGCAGTGAGGTATATAAGTGGCCCAATAATTCCCCTATACATGGTCGGATTGACCTCCACGCCATTTTCATCTCTATTAAGTTACACACTTGTGCTCATAGGAGTATCCAACACCTTTGTCTCAAGAAGATTAAATTTCTTGAGCAGCTCCTTGATATACTTCTCTTGGCATATTGAAATCCCTTGAGAGGTTTGTTTGATCTGTAAGCCTAGGAAGAAAGTGAGCTCACCAATCATGCTCATTTCGAACTCACTACTCATCAAAACAACAAACTATTTGCACAGTGGGTCTGAAGTAGCTCCAAATATGATATCATCAACATACACCTGCACAATTAGCAATTCCTTACCTCTAGATTTCAAGAACAAAGTGTTATCAATTTTACCTCTCTTGAACCCATTGGCTAGCAGGAATTTTGATAGGCATTCATACCAAGCTCTGGGAGCTTGCTTTAACCCATACAAAGCTTTGTCCAGTTTCAACACATGATTGGGCAGGTCTGCATCTTTAAAGCCTGAGGCTGTTTGACATAAACTTCCTCCTTCAGATTCCCATTCAACAAAGCACTCTTGACATCCATTTCAAACAACTTGAACTCTATGTGGGCGGCAAACGCTATTAAGATTCTGATGGCTTCCATTCTAGCTACAGGGGAAAGGTCTCATCATAATCAATCCCTTCTTTTTGGTTGTAACCTTGCACCACAAGCCTTGATTTATTTTTAGTAATAGTGTCATGCTCATCAAATTTATTTCTAAAGATCCATCTAGTCCCAATAATAGTTCTGTCAATTGGTCTGGGGACCTGGTGCCACACTTTGCTTCTCTCAAACTAATGAAGTTCCTCCTGCATTGAAGTTACCCAGTCTACATCCTGCAATGCTTTTTTTTATATTCTTTGGTTCAATGGATGATATGAATGCTGAGTGAGCAACTAGATTTCTTAATTTAGATCTAGTTTGAATTCCTGAGTCAAGTGGAGAGATGAGATTGTCCAGTTGAAGATTTATGCTTCCATCCGGACTTTCTGGTAATCTCTTCTTCTCTGTCAGCATCAAAATCACCTTCACCTTTTTCAAGATTTTGAGACATTGTTTCCTGTGATGAACCTGAGTGACCAGGTCTTCATGAGTGTTCTTCATCCTTTTCTTTTGTACCTTGATCATCATGTTGCTTGTTTATCAACTCATCAACCTCATAGTCCTCATTGTTCTCATTTTTTATACCCAATTCATCAAATTTGGCGTGCATGCTTTCTTCAACACAAAAAGTTCATTTGTTAAACACCTTGTACGCCTTGCTTGTAGATGAATACCCAACAAATACACCTTCATCACTTCTTGCATCAAACTTGCCTAGATCATTATTTCCATTATTCAACACAAAGCATTTGCACCCAAATGGTCTAAGATGAGCAATTGAAGGTTTTTTGTTATTTAATAGCTCATAAGGTGTTTTCTTGATGATAGATCTAATAAGACACTTGTTTGTCACATAGCAGGCTATATTAACAGCTTCAGCCCAAAAATTTATTGCAAGTCCTGAATCGATCAGCATAGTTCTAGCAATCTCCACCAGAGTTCTATTCTTTCTTTCAACCACTCCATTTTGTTGAGGAGTTCTTGGTGCTGAGAAGTTGTGATTGATTCCATTTTCTGCATAAAACCCTTCAAGTAGATAGTTTTCAAACTCCGTTCCATGATCAGATCTGATACTGGCTATCTTGCAATTTATCTTCAATTGGATGGCTTTGGCAAATGTGATCAGTTGTCCAGCTGTATCATTTTCGTTCGCTGAAACATGTTCCAAATGAACCTGGAAAAATCATCAACAATAACAAGAATATATTTCTTACCTCCTCTGCTTTGGATTCTGATAGGTCAACATAAGTCTATGTGGAGCAGCTCTAGAGGTCTCGTTGTACTGACTCCCTTCTTGGCCTTGAATAATGACTTAGTCTGTTTCCCTTTAGCACAGGCATCACAGACTTTGTCATTCGAAAACTTTAGTGTTGGCAATCCGTGGACCAGGTCCCCTGTAACAAGTTTGTTCAGCAATGAAGTACTCACATGACCCAATCGCTGATGCCACAGATTTGCATCATCAGTTTGAGCACTTAAACAAGACAAATCATCTCCCTCAATGGAATCCAGATCTGCAACATACATATTTTTAACTCTAGTAGCAGACATGACAATCCTTTTGGTAATGCGATTTGTAACCAATCATTTATCAGCCATGAACTTGACTTCGTTTCCTTTATCACAAATTTGTGAAATGCTCAAAAGATTGCATTTTAGACCCTCCACATAGTGTACATTGTTTATTGAATAATCAGCAGATCTCCATATCCTACCAATACCAAGGATAGAGCCCTTCTTTCCACCACCAAACGACACACCACCACCTTGGTGTGCTTTCAAAGAGATGAAGTTTGAAGTGTCTCCAGTCATGTGCCTTAAGCATCTACTATCCATGTACCAGCACTGACTCTTTCCTCTCTTCTGCATAAGAATCACATGTTAGATTTATGAACCCACTTCAAACGGAGTTCCCAATAACTATCAAAAGGCTTGATAAGAAGCCTTCATATCCAGGAGGGCAAAGTGTTCTTATTGAAACGATAACGGGGACCAGGTCCCTCGTGTTCCCTTTTATCATTGTTTTCAAATCTGAAAAATTTCACATGTTTTTCTTTTGTTCTTCTCACACTCTCACACTTTTCTTTTAGATGATCATTACGCCCACAGTGAGTGCACAACAGATTGTCAAATACAGACACATATTTACTATGAGGATTATATGAAGGTTCTTTTGGTCTGCATCCCATCTCTTTCTTTTCATTGAAACTCTGATTAGACAGGTTAGAGAGTATCTTAAAGGAATCAGTCCACTTTAGAGAGTGGCTTAGCTCTTCCTTGATCCTACTCAGATCCTTTCTCAGTTGGGAATTAGTTTCAAGAGAAGCAACTAGTTTAGACTCCAAAATTTTAAGCTTTTCTTCCAATTCTTCCTCAAAGATGCTAAGCTTTCTCTTTCCACTGTCTGAAGTACCAGGATCCTCCTTAGGAGTTATATTGCTAGTTTCTAGAGTACCTATCCTTAAGCTCATTTCAGAAACTTGAGACATGAGAGTTGAATTCTCATCCTCACACAAACTCAATTTTTCATTTAACATTAAGTTTTCAGTGGTTCGTTCATCAACAGAATCAATAAGCAGGGCATCAAGTTTCCTCAATTTTTCAACAGGAAAATTTTCTAAATCATCCTTAAGATAAAAAAAGGGTTACCTCATCTGGATCTTTCTCATCATCAGGCTTAGCCATCAAGGAGAAAATGGAGTTGAAAACATTTTCATCATCTTCAATAGCCATCATTGATACATCATCATAGCTTTCTGCATCTTCTTCTGACTCACTTGAATTATCTCCCCATACAACAAAGGCTTTTCTCACCAACTGATCAGCATGAGCCTTTCTCTGGGACCAGGTCCCCCTTGCAAGATTTGGTGTCATGAGTTTCCTACCTTTGACAGAGGCAGTCCCTCATAAAGTGACCAGGATTGCCACACTTATGGCACATATCATTTGCAGTAGCAGTTCTACTGGTAGAGGTTTTCTTTTGGAAACCCTCATGCTTTTTTATGATCTTTTGAAATCTTCTAGTGGCATACGCCATCTCATCATCCTCCTCAGTCACCTCACTTTGAGATGTTTCCAAAGTAATGGACTTCTCCTTCTTTCCTTCCTTCAAAGTCATCCCCTGCTTCTTGTTCATCTCGTAGGTCTAAAGATTCCCAATCAGTTCATCCATGGGAAGAGTCGTTAGATCTTTGGCTTCTGTTATGGCATCCACTATGCTTTCCCAAGATTTAGAAAGCACTTTAAGGATCTTGCGAATTTGCTTGCTAAGAGGAATAGGCTCACCCAGGCCTCTTAGCTCGTTGGTGATAGAGGTGAATCTTGAGTTCATCTCAAAGATGGTTTTCCCTTCCTTCATGCTGAAATTTTCGTACTGAGTGGTGAGCATATCAATCTTAGACTCTTTCACTCGATGGGTTCCTTCATGGGCTGTTTGAAGATAGTCCTAAATCTCCTTGGCAGTCTCACAAGCGGATATTATGTTGTATTCATCTGCTCCAATTCCACATACTAGAATCTTCTTTGCCTTGTAGTTCTTTTCAATCATTTTCATGTCTGCCTAATTGTAGTCTTTTTTGGTTTAACCACAGTAGTGGTGAGCTCTCTATCCTTCACCTTCTTTGTAGGAATATATGGTCCATCAAGGATAATGTTCCACAACTCAAAGTCATCAGCGTTGATGTAATCGTGCATTCGATTCTTCTACCATTTATAGTATTGGCCATTGAAACGAGGTGGCCTGGTAGAAGATTGTCCTTCCTCCATATTTGGTGGAGCAGCCATTCCTTCAGGATATTTTCTTTTTTTAGTGTTAACCAAACTGAAAAGTTATGCTCTGATACCACTTGTTGGAATATATGTGTCCACTTATGTAGATGGGACTAGGTCCTCAACACAGTTACAATAATAAACAGTAAAGAACAAATGCTGAAAGTAAAGATTGACAATCAACTTTACGTGAAAACCTCCTTGCTCAAGAGAGTAAAACCACGACCTATTCTCAACAGGACTTTTCAAACTACTTCCATTAATCTTCTCCAAGTAAAAGTAAAAGCCAGTTTACACAATGAGATTAGCCTACTAAACTCCACACTAAGCAATACCTCCTATCACTTAGCTGAGCCAAAGCAGATACAACACTGCCCACTATACTAATCCTAACCGATTAATATAGACTTTAGAGTAAGAAACTAAGTTACCCTTAACCTAGTTCTTACAATGATTCACACAAGTTTGAAATGTTTATTTAACAAGTGAAACAAATCCTACAATATAAGCACTATTACAAGCAAACAAATGCAGCTGGTACTGAAAGCAAATAGAAGCACTTCTATCAGGTCCCTTGCTATTTTGAAGCTTGAAAGTATCTCTATTTGAATGAATGATGAATACTGTTGTTTTTTGTATGATATATACCATGAGAATTTATTATCCAGCGTACAAACAACCTTGTCGTTTATCATTGGTGAAGTACTCTGCAGCTTCACCAACTTTCTGATGTGGACAGCTTTACAGCTGTTCAGCACTTTGACACTGGACGAGTATTCATACTCTGCAGAGGACCAAGTCCCTGCACTTGTTAGGAGATCATCAAAACATCTAGGAACATAACTTATTAGAATATGTAGAAGAGTGCAAGATGTTTCAGATAGTAAAGAAGCTAAAGATAATATAGTAGGAGCTTTGAAAACTCAACTCTCAACACTTCAGAAACATTGTCTCGAAGGTAAGTGATGATAGAAAGGCATTAAAAGAAGTACAGGGGAGACCTCAAGTTGATCCTTCAAATGTGCAGATCCAAAGGGAAGAAATACAGTATACCAGAAGTATAGGAGATCCTCTTACATGGCTGAGATGTATTTGCAATAGAAAAGTAAAGCTATATGGATCAAATTAGGTGACGACAACACAAAGTATTTTCATTCTGTAATCAAGCATATGAGGCTGCAACAGGGCACTACTCAACTGAAGAATTATCAAGGGGCTTGGCAGACCGATCCTACACAAATAGCTAACATATTTGTTAAGTACTACACTGAGATTTTGGGTATGAAAACTTGTAGAAGGAGTAAAGATTCAGTAAGGATCATTCATAATGGTCCCTGTTTGACTGTAGATCATCAGATGGAGTTGTTGAGACCATTTTCTGAGAAAGAGGTCAAGGAAGCAATGTTCAAGATAAATAGCAACAAGAGCCCTAGGTCTGATGGGTTTGGTAGTGGTTTCTACAAAGCAGCTTGGCTAATTATAGGAGACGATATCACAAGAGTTATTATGGATTTTTTTCAGAATGAGAGGTTATTGAAAAAATTGAATGCCACCATCATTGCACTAATACCTAAAGTGGAAAATCCAGAATTTGCAAGTCAGTATAGACCCATTTCATGTTGTAATGTTATATACAAATGCATTTAGAAATTATTATGCACTAGGTTGCAGGTTGCAGGTGGATGAGAACCAAGCAGTTTGTACAAGGTCGATGTATGGTGCATAATGTGTTGATTTGTCATGATCTTTTTAAGGCACTATAATAGAAAATCAACATCTCCTAGGTGTTTGATGAAAATAGACTTGAAGAAGGCCTATGATATAGTAAACTGATAGTTTCTGCAGGAAGTAATTGAGGGAAATGGCTTTTGTCCAATAGATGCTCACTTGTGTTAAAACTCTCAAGTTCTCAGTAAAAGTTAATGGCCAGAGTTATGGTTTTTTTGAAGGACAAAGAGGTTTACGGCAAGGTGACCCTGTTTCACCACTTCTGTTCGTACTTGTGATGGAATATTTGTCTAGAACTTTGAAGACCATGAGCATGCTGCCTGATTTTTGATTTCATCCAATGTGCAAAGGACTAAAACTTACACACTTGACATTTATCGATGACCTAATGATATTTTGTAAAGCAAATTGTGAGTTTGTTAATAGAGTAATGGAGGCCCTTTCACACTTTAGCAATGTTTCTGGACTAGTTGCTAACATGGAGAAATCAAGTATTTTTGTAGCTGGAATGAAAGATCAGGTGAAAAATGAGCTACTGTTAAGAACTGGGTTTACACTCGGAGAATTGCCTTTTAGATACTTGGGACTGCCGCTATCATCTAAGAGATAGAGTAAGTTAGAATGCAAACAGTTAGTGGACAAAATCACATCCAGAATCAGATTGACATATACCAAGCAATTGTCATATGCTGGAAGGCTTCAAGTCATAAACTCAGTTTTTTTTAATTCATAGTTTTTGGGGATCAGTCTTTGTCCTGAGATGTAGAGAGTACCTATGGGGTGGGTCTGATGAAAAGAAGAAGGTGTCACTAGTCTCATAGAGTAAAGTGTGTCTGCCTAAGAAGCTTGGAGGGTTGAATATCAAAGATTGCAGCTTATGGAACCTTGCATCTGTTGGGAAGTTGCTATGTCATTTAATTGTCAATAAGGACTCATTATGGGTCAAGTAAGTGCATGATGTGTATATGAAAGCAGGAGAGGATGTTTGGAACCACAAAGCTCCGGTAGATAGCAGCTGGTATTGGAGGAAGATTCACGCCAAGAAAGGAAAAATACAAAGTTGGTATACACAAGATAGGTATTGGCTGACTAAGGGAGGTGAATACTCAATCACAAAGATCTATATTGATCTTAGAGGGACCCACAATAGTTCACATATTGTTGAATGTATTTGAAGTGTAGTGGCTCAACCTAAACATAGATTTATTCTGTGGTTAGTTGTCCAAGATAGATTGCTAACTAAGGAAAGGCTATTGAAGATGAACATCTCAGTGGAGGAAACTAATTGTTGTTTATGTGATGCTCAGAAGCTGGAGACAGCCAAACACTTGTTCAGTGAATGCCCATGGTTCACTGAGGTCTAGAGAAATGTTGAACAGTGGACATGCTTGCCTATAAAACTGGGGAGGTGAAAGAAGTAATGCTGAGAATTAAAAGGAAGAAATGGAAGCAGTTTCAGAAACAAGTGATAGCTGCGAGTTGGGAGGCAATGATCTACCATACTTAGAGAGCCCGGAACTGGAAAATTTTCAAAGAAGTACATATACAAACAACTGAGATACACACACAAATTAAGAAGGAGATTTTACATAGAATAGACATACTTAGTTCATCAAAGAGAGCTAGCAGATGTAGTGTTTTTTTTTGCAAAGGCTGAAAGTGTAACTAGTTTTGTGTTTTGTTGGAGGCTTGAGACGCAGTTGTTGTGCTCAAGGGCTCTTTAGGTGTATGTTTTTGCTTTAGTAATTGTAATGTATACATGGTTACCAAAAAAACTTTGCTATTTAGAGCTAATATATTTTTCGTTATAAAAGTGGCTCATATATACCTATATCATTACACAAATGGCCTAGATATACCCTTTTGATCTAACCGGAGTGAAATTTTTTTATTTTAAATTCATTTTTTTTAAAAAAAATTCTTTTTAAAATTTATTATTAATATAGCCGCAAGAAAATTATTTTTAATTTTTTTCTCTTTTTCCATCACATTTTTTTCTTTTTGTTTCTCATATTTTTACACTAAAAATGAAAGGAAAAACAAATAAAAATAAGAAACTCAAATGTTGATAAGCAAATTGTAGATCTAGAAGTGAGATAGTTAAAATTCAAATTAAGTAAAAAAAAATGTGTGAAAAAGATCAAATGTAGCATGAACTTTGCTAGAACGATCACATATAGCTCTAATTGGATTTTATAAAACTAAGAACAAAAAAAGGCCAAATATACCTCAAACTTTAGAAAATGATATGTATTTTCTGTTACTTTAAGATTGTATATATCCTTACTGTCATACTTTTGAACCGTATATGTCCTTAAATCAAACGGACAAACATGTGTCACCATCTCAATCTTATTTTGCTTATGAAAATAAAAATAATTTAGGACCTTTTTATGTATTAACTCAGATAAAAATACTTTTAAAAAAAATTGGAGTTGGAAAAAGAGAAAATGGAGGATGAAATTACAAGGTGGAAAATTGAACCCTCGAGATCAATCAGGTAAAAATTTACATAACCAACCAATTGAGCTATTAAATTCTCCAAATAAATTAAGATAAATAAATATCAATACAGCACAGAATATATAACCCAAAAAAAAAAAAAAGGATTTATGAAAAAAGGGGTAGAAATGTAATTGAATTAGTCAAAATCAAACCATTTAAGACCTCAACTGCAAATTAACCGGTTAGAGAACGGCCACGCCGCAACTAAATTTGAATTAAATTTGTTTTTCTCTTACTTAAAAACAGCCCTATTTCTTGAATATTCATTATTAAAGTTTGAATTAATTTTTTTAATTTTATGTATGTCTTGAGAATGATTTTTTTCTTTTTAGTGAAGTAAATTAATATTTATTTATTTAGTTATTCTTGTTCTTTAATATTTATTAAAGAATTAGCTTAACTTTAAAACTCGCCTATTTTCTTTGTTTTAAGTTTGAAAGAGCATAATTGGGATAAAAAAAAATTAACTAACAAGAATTTAGAGTATTGGAAAAAAGAAAAAATTATTTATAGTTGTGCAAATTTTATATATTTTGAGGAGGTTTATGGCTTTATGCCTATTTATATAGTTGACACATTAGTTAACAACATCTTAAAAGGTCCACAAATTGTAAATGCCAAGGAAATTGTTTTTATGAGTCTGTTTGGATTGACTTTTGGCTTATAACTTATAAATCAAAAGTTGTAGAGATAAAGATCAAAAACACATTTAAAATATCTTTTTTTTATAAAAAAAACCATACCTATATTATTGAGAGTGTGAGTTTCATACCTAAACTATCACTTATTAGCTATTTTTTTATTTTAGCTTTTAAATAAGTGTTTTATAAGCATTTTTTTATTATTTTACTCAAACATTAGAGAACTACTTTAAAGCTTTTTTTGTCTTAAAAACAAATAAAAGAAACCAATTGCAAACGGACTATTAAAGATATTTCACACGTAAATAAATACAGAACACCATATATTATATATTAATATAAATTAAGAAAAAAAATAACAATGAATAGTCAAGAAGAAAATCGAACATATGTTTAGGGAAAAAAAGACGGAATAGTTTTTTTTTATATTTTTGGTCACACTGTCTAAAAGAAAATGATTGTGTTTATATAGGTTAAAAATATAGCATGTTATAATAGTAAATAATAATCATGACTCGGTTCATTGAAAAAGAAAATGATGTTTTATATAGATTAAAAAATAATATGTTATAATAGTAAATAATTATCATAACTAGACTCATTTAAGAAATAACATGATTGCGTTTATAGAGATAAAAAAAAAATAACATGTTATAATAGTAAATAATTATCATAACTCGACTCATTTAAAAATAAAGTGATTGTGTTTATATAAATTTAAAAAATAACATGTTATAACTGTAGTAAATAATTATCATAACTCGACTCATTTAATAATAAAATGATTGTGTTTACATAGATTTAAAAAATAACATATTATAATTGTAGTAAATAATTATCATAACTCGACTCATTTAATAATAAAATGATTGTGTTTATAATGTTATAATAATAAATAATTATCATAACTCGACTCATTTATAATATTGTGATTTATGACGTATTAACTTTTGGAGGAAGACTCTTGTCATTTTCTTTATATTAATATCCAAAAAATAATCTCGACATTTTCTTTAGTCAATAAAGACATTTTCCTTTTAGATGCATTTCTAACAGTTCCATTAAATATGGAAATGCGTGGTTGATTAATAGCCTTTGCTACAAAAAAAATATAAATATCAATATAGCTATTTTTTTATTTTAGCTTTTAAATAAGTGTTTTATAAGCATTTTTTTATTATTTTACTCAAACATTAGAGAACTACTTAAAAGCTTTTTTGTCTTAAAAACAAATAAAAGAAACCAATTGCAAACGGACTATTAAAGATATTTCACACGTAAAAATATATTTTTTTAAATACAGAACACTATATATTATATATTAATATAAGTTAAGAAAAAAAATAACAATGAATAGTCAAGAAGAAAATCGAACATATGTTTAGGGAAAAAAAGACAGAATAGTTTTTTTTTATATTTTTGGTCACACTGTCTAAAAGAAAATGATTGTGTTTATATTGGTTAAAAATATAGCATATTATAATAGTAAATAATAATCATGATTCGGTACATTGAAAAAGAAAATGATGTTTTATATAGATTAAAAAATAATATGTTATAATAGTAAATAATTATCATAACTAGACTCATTTAAGAAATAACATGATTGCGTTTATAGAGATAAAAACATAACATGTTATAATAGTAAATAATTATCATAACTTGACTCATTTAAAAATAAAATGATTGTGTTTATATAAATTTAAAAAATAACATGTTATAATTGTAGTAAAATAATTATCATAACTCGACTCATTCAATAATAAAATGATTGTGTTTATATGGATTTAAAAAATAACATGTTATAATTGTAGTAAATAATTATCATAACTCGACTCATTTATAATATTATGATTATGACGTATTAACTTTTTGGAGGAAGACTCTTGTCATTTTCTTCATATTAATATCCAAAAAAATAATCTCGGCATTTTCTTTAGTCAATAAAGACATTTTCCATTTAGATGCATTTCTAACAGTTCCATTAAATATGGAAATGCGTGGTTGATTAATAGCCTTTGCTACAAAAAAATATAAATATCAATACATCAACATCACAAAATTAAATGACTAAAAAAAAAAATTATTATGAAACAAAGGGTATAAATGTAATTTGAATTTGGTCTAAAATCAAATCATGAAGACCTCAACTGCAAATTAACTGGTTTGAGAACGGCCACGCCCCACTCCTCTCTTCCACTCCTTTATTGTCCTTTATTTCTTTTTCGGCGTTCGATATTTCTAAATTAATTTAAATTTATATTTGTAAAGCTTCATTTGAAGATAAAGATTTTATATCAAAATAATTTTATATATAATATATAAATTTGAGACTTATAATTAAACGAAGAGTGGTCTTATACATTGTACTTGAATAACAAAATTAATGTTGACAAAATCTTAGGTTAGATATTTCACGAGGTTGGATATTTCTCCCTTTTCTCACCTTGTTTTTATTTTCTTTTCTCATGTCTCATAATATATGTCCATACCATAACGCATTCTTATAGCCTAAGTCTCTCCAACTATTTATATAAATTCACTCTTCTATTTTCTTATTACTTACTCTTAAGATGGATCAACTTGGAGATGATGATCAAGTTTCCATGACAGTAGAGAACCGTGAAATATTGTTCTCTTCTGATTCCGAAGTTGAGTCTCCTAATCCGATGTTGAATTGTCACTTCAGGTCAGAAACGAATTCAAAATTTTGATTTTATTCATAAAATTTTAGTAATTTGTCCACGTATATTACATTTGCTCGTACTAATTTAGGTCGTTGAAGAGAAATGGAATAATCAAACTAGAAGAACGTGACCAAGAGCATGATTTGATCAAGGCAGGTTTTCTTAGTGGAATGGGACAATTGGGAAATGAAATTGAAGTTGTGGCTATACACAAAAATTCACGTTCAACTATATTGGGGCAAGCGAGGTCAGAAAGTTTTAGTATTTATTCCGAAGCAATGTGGAAAAAATGTGGTGGAGATGCTAATATTAAATATGCTTGGATTGGTTCTTCCAAAGATGAAATTTGTAAAATTATTTCACATGGATTTTCTACAATTATGGAACCAAAATCTGGAGATTGTTTTGGCAATGGTGTTCATCTTTATCCTAGAAACATCGATGGGTAAGAAATTAAACATTTTAATAACTTATTGTTTATCTGTTTCATCTTTCTATTTTTGAAATTAATTTTATACTTTTCAATTTTATCCGTAATGACATTATTCTTATAATATCTGTGAAAATTAACATGTGTCAAAGACTCTTTTTTTCTTGAACATAGCGACAAATTACACACCGCCACATATATATAAGTTGGGGAAAGTCAAACATACCTTTATATATCATAAATAATTATAATAAATATAAAAAGTGTTATACTTTTAATTTTAATATACCTTATTGTTATTATACTTTTGCTTCAAATATATAGTTGTTTTTAATTTGAGTTTCTCTGATAAGTTCACTAGAAAATTCATTCAAGAATCAAATTTGGCTAATTTTATTTTTCCGACACTTATTAGAGAAACGCAAATGTGATCCTTAGAGAAGATGATGATAATAAAATAAAACGAATCGAATTACACTAGTAGTTTTTAAGAAATGGTGTATTTAAATTAGATCATTTGATTTTAAGCTTGAAGTGTATCTATGTGTCAAAATTAAAGATAAATTTATGCTAAGTTATAATAAAAATGGTATATTTAAATAAAAAAATAACAGCATATACATTTAAACTATTTCCAATAATGTTGATATGATATATTTGACCATTTTCTGTATAAAATGAAACAAACATATCAAGAGTCTTGGACAAGCCATTGTTAACTCTAAAATTTATATTGGTTTTACGTAAGTATATGAACATTGAATTTGTCATTTGATTACTTCAAATGTTTAAGTTAATTAATTAATTTATTTGACTTTTTATTTTTGGATTGAAGGGTATTTTCGGCAGTGGAAGATGAGAATGGATTAAGACATATGTTACTTTGCAGAGTAATATTAGGAAATACAGAAGTAATTGAGGCTTCATCCAAACAATTTCAGCCAACTTGTCAAGATTTTGACTCTGGGGTTGACAATTATTTTGCTCCTAAAACATACATTATTTGGCCTTCTAATATGAATTCTCATATTTTACCAATTTTTCTAGTGAGTTTCAAGGGTCCATTATTATTAGGTAAGCAATTCAAGATTCATAATTTGGTTATTTTAAATTATTATGCTAATGTAGAGATTCAAGATTTTTATTGCTATCTATACATTTTTAGATATCTTTTTTTGATTTATTTTTATATTCTTTTATCTGCTAGAAAAAAGAACGAAATTGATATAATATATGATGTACATAAAATATACTTTCTCCGTTTACTTTTACTTGTCACATTAAAATTTGAATCCATTGAGAAAATAATTATTGATATGACTATGTTATTACACTATCCCTTCTGAATTGATGTTTAGTACTAGGTCTTGAATTTTTTTTTGGAAATAAGTAATTAATGTCTAAGATAAAACATGAAAACAAATAATTATCTTTCCTTTCCTTGATATATAAAAGTTAAATCTATTTTTGAAATATTAGATAAGTAAAAGCGAACAGATACAAAATAGTACTATATATTCTTACTTCTTCTGATCCGTCCCATATTATTTGTTCATTTTCTCTTTTACATGTTCCTTAAGAAATCATCAATAAGAAGGATGGTTTTACTAATATATTCTTACAAAAACTTCTTTGGAACATACGAACTTGTTTACACTTTCCGAAAAGAATTAATTGTAACGATCAAACATGGAAATTTTGATTCATTTCTATTTTGATTTTGTAAATAGGCAAGTAATTTGGGATAACTACTTATATATTTGACTAGTGAATATAATTATTTTTAACGGACCGACTTGTCCTATTTTTCTAGGTAACTCTTCAAAAATCAAGAAGATTCCATTGAATCCCACACCACGTATAAAATTTTCAAATTTATTGCGTGTGCTTTCCAATTTTTTACATCCTTCAAGAATGGTTTTGATCTCAAAGAACTATGAAGATTTTCAGGTACGTATTTTTATTTTTAAAAAATTAAAAATTGTGACTATAAAATTTATTACTGTAAAGTACTTTAACAAGTATTTGATTACTGATTATATGAATTCTATAATTTATAGAAAAACAAGATCTCAAAAATGGTATTTGTTCAGAAGTTGAGGCAAATAGCTGGAGATACTTCACTACTTAAGAGTTGTCATGATATTGTATCCAAACACTAAGGTAGAGCAAGGGGTCTGACTATGTTTTTTCCTTATTTTAATTTTTTAGTATTTAACTATTATTATTTGTAATATTATTATAGAGTATGTTATAAACTTTGCGATGATGATAGAATATTTAGTTGAGCTGCTATTTAAGTTAATTGATTATGGCATATATCATTAGTTTAGGATTTAATTACGTGTCTTTTCATGAATTTTGAAATTACAATGTGTCATGAATTTTGGCCCCTAGATACATGTATCTATGATACACGGGGTCAAAATTAGGTGTAATTTGTTCCAGTTTTCAAGTGGATTCACATGTATATGACTCTTTCGCTCGCCTCTCTCCTATTACGCTCGCTCTCTCCCTATGTATTTGTATTTCTGAATGTATTTGGAATGTATATGGTATTTTAGATACATGTATCTAGTGTGATTCTTATGTATTTGGGATACAAAGACTCTCTTGCTCACCTTCCCCCTCTCTTGCTCGTATTTCTCCTATCTTCCTCGCTTCTCTCCCCCTCTCTCTCTCGCCTCTCTCCCTATACATTTGTATATCATAGTGTATCTAGTAGAAAAAATACATGTATCTAGGTGTATTTGAAAGTTGGTATGAAATTATTAATTAGTAAGATAGTGTGTAATTATTTCAAACTGTAGGGAGAATTTATACATATGGTAAGAATATTAATGTAATAAGATAATTTTTCCATTTTTTTTTATAATAGATAATGAATGGGCTTTGGAAACTGATTGGGCCTAGATCCAAACAAAGAGTAGAGTGTAGTATTCCGAAAAGAAATAGCCTAGTTGACAAGAGAGTGTTGCTCGAATGGTAAGCACTCCTCATATTGTGAGTTTGCGTCACCACGGGATCTCCTGGGGAGGGGTAAAAAAACAAGGCCTAGTTATTATTTTGTACTTTTCTTGAAAATCAGAGAAGGAAAGACAAATAAAAGGAAAAAGTAAAAAAGAATCGTAGTGCTATTAACTAGACTATACACTATACAGTTTCCAAATAGGCTCCAAAAAAATAAACACAAAACTATAGTGTTAGTTACTGCAGCTGTAAGGGAAAATGGGGGACAAGCCAACTGATCACACTAATGTAAATGGCAAATGAAACTATGAATTAATACATATGACAACTTTACAATGTGTACGAAGTCTCTGATAGAATCTATAATTACTTGTATACATGATCTTGTGTTTATAAAATTATTCAGACACTAGGACGTCAATATATATATATATATATATATATATATAAAACATGTACTAATATGTAAAGCAGACAGGATAGATGCTAGCTCATGAGAAATTATAGACAACTGAACATTTCTCATCTGAAACTAAATCTCATGGATTGGCTTATTAGCTTGTGTACAATGTATCTTGCTTATTTCCTAACATGTGAACAAGTGATAGATTTACATGTGTGAGATGTTTTTGTTAATTTAATTGTTGTATGATTAATTATTTAATTGTTTGATCTCCAATCGAATTATATATATGGCTAGTTAGTTATATTCAAAAGAGGAAATTGCAAGCTTAATAAGAAAAGAAAAAAAAAGGTGTGTTCGTAAACCTCTAGATAGGAGATCAATAGGTTCAATTAATAATTAATAAACTCAATCGTATTATCATGTTAATCATCATCGTAACTCTAGATCTTTCTCTCGCGAAATCTTATTTCCTGTAGATCACTCTAAATTGTGTTAATTAGTTTAGTTGTTCTTTAGTTATAATACAACCACAAAATTGTAGAAATTCTTGAATCGTTTAATTGGATTAAATTTAGGTGATCAAAATATATAAGCTTCTCTAAGAACGATATCTAGAATAGTTAATTCTTTATTACTTGGCGAATACGTATATTTGTGTGTGTTTGGGAGTAATAGTTCTCATCATTTTTCAACATATATATAACATATAACATAGAAGGGTAGAATAGTCCTTTCAGCTCAAGTCATTATTAAGCTACTATTTTATTTACTATAATTTATAAATGACTTATAACTATTATTTATTTTTTTAATAAGATTGAATATTAGAATTTCAAAGAATTCTCTCTTTACACAACAGTTTCCTCTTTCTAGTGAACACCCCCACCATAAAGAGAATAATGGCATTGTTGTATTTAACATTAACTTCATGAGAAAATGAACAAAAATAATAATAATTAATAATCAAAGCATAATAAAAAAATTAACATGGCTAAATATTATTTATGGATTTAGCATCTACTAATAATGAAAAAAATCCAAAGTAGCTTTCAAGGAGGTCATTGTTTGAAAAATCAATCTAACCACCATCATAATTGTGGCGTTCTAATTAGTTTTGGATTATTGGATATGCTTATTTATTTGTTTGCTAACATTTCTATAAATGACAAAATTAATGGTGTGTTTCTTAGTTAGCAAGAGATTATTAATTAGGGGGACAAAGAATAAAGAATAACTTGAGAATATTTTATAACATGGAGCAGGTAAGCTAAGTATTCCACTTTATTTTTTTCTTTTAGTGTTCCGAAGCTTGAAATAAAACCCTAACTAAATTTGTATCGCATATTATAAGACTCAATTAGAAAATGACGATTCCAATATTATTTTTTTCATATTTAAAACTCGAACCAGTTAAACTTTTTCAAAATGTTACTCAAAGAACAAAAAAAAATAATATTTAAATAATTAATTGGAAGAGATTCAATTGAACGTGGTCCACAATGACAAATTGTTTATAAATATTCTAACAGTTAATTTTGACTGGTCAATAAGTCAATGTCAAACTTGGGTTCAGTGGCCATTATATTTGACTGGAGTAGCAAATAAATCACTCTTTTAATATGATATATTTTATTCTATTCTTTCTACTATATTACTTTACTCTTATTTAGATATGAGACTTTAGAAGGACTAACATTGCATTAAATTACTTGTACAACATGCATAGAATTTTGTACATTAACTTTTGACTGCATTAAATTAGTTGTACAACGTGCAAAAAGAATTGTACATTAAATATGAGACTTTAGAAGGACTAACATTGCATTAAATTACTTGTACAACATGCATAGAATTTTGTACATTAACTTTTGACTGCATTAAATTAGTTGTACAACGTGCAAAAAGAATTGTACATTAACTTTTATAAATGACAATTACAAGGACTAACATTGCAATTATTATTATTACTCATTACTTACAAGAACTAACATTGCAATTATTATTATTACTTATTACTCCTTATTAGAGTTGACACTTTAAAGGACGAACACGGCACTACCAAGTTATACACAAAGCATTTCAAATTATACTATAAAATTAATTGTGCCTCATTAATTGTACACGTGTCTTTCTACATATACAACAATCCACATGAAGAATTACTTTTCTGACTTTTTTCCTCAATTTCTCTCTATATATTCGTTTTTTTTTCCTTTTTTTCTACTTTCCATTCTCCCCTTTTACTCTCTCTTTAGTTAATCTTTGATATTAAATTTTTTATAGATCTTTAAAATATTTTGAATTATTAATTATTGTGACCTATAATACTTTGATATTTACATAGTTTACAAATATATAAATTTCATTTTTTAAAAATTGAAGATACCATGCACAAATTTTCGGTCAGACTTAAACTATTTGATTCTCGAAAAATAAAAAGTGTCACATAAAATTGAATAGACGGAGGATAACTCTCAATTAAATTTATTTCAGTTTTTATTTTCCATTTTTAACATAATTTTTCAAGTTGGATTTCTAGGAATTGTATTGTAGACCCATTTAGATTTTACCCTTTTGTTTTAAATTCAAAACAACCCTAAAAAACAAATGGTGATTACAGACAACAAAATTTCAATAATAAAGAAATTTGAACGATAAATTCTTCACTATCAGATGACAAAATTTGAAAATCATTAAAAAGAAAAAATGTATGACCATACAGAGATTTAAATAAAAATTTAGAAAGCAATGGAAGAAATCAGTGGTAGGCAAATCAAGAAAATAAAATTTGCCTAAATAGTAGACGTGGTTTGATGAGAAAGAACTATAGTATAGGTATTTATACAAAAGTGAAAGATATTGAATAGTCAATCAGATTGGACCAAGTTTATAGACGCATGGGGACTTAACACAATTTTTTAATTGGTTCACAGTAGCGAAGATCTCTATTTGTGATAGTGAACAACAACAATAATAAATATATTTAGTGTAGTCTTATAAAGTAGAATCTGAAGATGGTAAAGTGCAAAGAGATCTCATCTCTTCTACTTTAGAGATATTACTCTTATTTAGAAGAGGAAGTTGTGAAGGACTAACATAGCGCCAACAAGTTGTTCTTAATGTAATTTAAGTTGTACTATGGGGCCCATTTTATTCAACAACTATTAGCATCTAAGTTGTACTATATTAGGACCCACCTTATTCAACAAGTATTGTACTAGCATTGATGATACATAAGTATTAATAATAATTTGGCGTGTAAATTCTTTAAAATAATTATTCCTCAATTTTATTTTTTTAACATTTATTTTTAATTTTAAAAGATTGGAAATTTTATGTTAAAAATTTTAATAATAGAAAAAATGATTTATTTAACTTTTATCATCATCAATACTATTAATTTATTTGACGTTTTTTCTTAATCTTCATCTCATCATTAATGTTATTTCTATAATTTTCTTAAATCACTTATTTTTTCTTTTTTAACTCTTTTATATATATATATATATATATATATATATATATATTATATTACTTTACTCTTATTTAGAAATGAGAGTTAGAAGGACTAACACAACATCAAATAGATGTACCAAAGGTAATACAAGTTGTACTGTATTGGGGCCCACCTCATTACACAAGTACTACTCCCCACTCATATCAAGACACATGTACTATGTAGGGAGTTAGGAAGGACTAACAAGGACAAATATGTAATTTTCTTAAGCTTACCCCACTCATATCACAAAGACACATGTACTATGTATAACACATAGATGTTTTTTATATTATCTATGGATTGATCCATTTTCCCCTTACAGTCTT